GAGGCCCTTTGGCCTGGATACGAATTTTGAAGTCTGGATCTGGACTGCCCCCATGACTCAGACCAAAAACTGGGACATAACTGTTGACTTCCTTTTGAATAGTCACATCTAGACAAACAGACACACTTACTGTCCGAACAGATATCAGCATTGCATATACAGACACAACTTCTCTTCTTTACACGAACAGGCACAATGGCTGCTCGTACAGACACACCTTATTCATGACCTACACAACTGCTGGCGAACAGGTAAGTCTTTTGACAATGCCCTTTGCTTCAGGATGTGCCCGTTGGTAGAGAACTTGGACTCTTGACCTGCTTTTCACGTTTCTGAGCCCTGGCGAGATACCTTTTCAGGCTGCTTTACTTTTACATGGCCCACGTTGCTTAGTTACAAGGCCTGAGGCCTACATTGGGTGAAAAAGGCCCTTTCACTTATTTGGCTTAGCCAAATGACTTGAAAATTTACAGGCATGTACCTCACGTCATAGAGAACTCACAAAAAACAATTCGGAAAAAAATAATTATTTTTTGGCCCCAAAATCATTTTTGGCGGGGACCGAACGCCGTCGGGTTCGGACCCTGTACGGGACCCCGAACGCCCGTACGTATGGAGGTCTGCCCCGGGACCTCCGTAAGTACGGGCTGGTGACCCTGTATATATATATATATATTATATAAAATTTGTTTTCGCAGGGTGCCGACCAGCTGACCGGTCAGCTGGCCGGCATCCTACCCGTCAAGGGGCGCCGACCATCGGGGTATGCAACACTGCTGATGGCTCATTGCCGTACACCCCCCCCCCCCCCCCCCCCCCCCCCCCCCCCCCCCCCCCCCCCCCTCTCTTTCTTAGCTTTTATAATTCCTAACGCACATTTTGACGAGGGAGGTGGTTTGCTTTCCTCAGCGTGAAGGTATTTGAGGTGGAGCTTGAGACCAATCCTCAGGACTGCTGCATCGGACTCGTCAGCAAGCCTGATCTAGTGCCCATCTGAAGTGGTCCAGAGTTGATTCGGGAGCACACTGGATGCAGAGTTGGACAAGGAATACTCAGCCGCATTACCTTGCACCAATCATTTCTTGCGTCTTACTTTTCAAGCAAAACTTTGGGGTCCACCCTGGAACATAGAAATGCAATCTACTATCCCTGCACGGGTTTCCCGCATTCACTACATATTGTTGGGCCTGGGCAAAGGAGGTGCATATTCCAGCTGTTTCTGAGTGATCTGGATGTCCGCATGATTGGCAATTACGGTGCAGTAGCAAATGTTTTGAATGGAAACTATGACAAATGATGATAACATGATGTTGCAATGATACCCAGAAGATATTGCCCAGCCGATAATGGCCACAGTCTGAAACACACACACAGAGTCTGTGAAAATTCGATGCAACTGTCTGTTGCAATGACCCTTTTATGTGGAGTTTGTCTCTCTCTTTTGCCCCACGTTCCTCTCTGTCGCTCACTCGTCTTCCCCTCCCTGCTCCCTTCCCCCCTCCCCCTTCCCCTTCCCTTTCCCCCTTCCCCTTCCCTCTTCCCCCTTCCCTTTCCCCTTCCCCTGCGCTCCCCCCTCGCCCCCACCCCCTTTCCCTGCCCCCTCTTGCGCTCACTGATCACCTTAGGAAACACACGCACACACACACGCACACATGTATACTGAAGAGAGATGCATGTCTGTGCGTTGGCTGCTCTTCCTTGCTCTCTGTCCCGGTGCACTGTACCCTCTCTCTCCCTCTCGCCCCTGTCCGCCCTCTCTTTCTTTCTCTCACTCCCATCCACCCTCTGTCTCTCTCTGGCTCTCATCTTCTTCCCTTTGCATACTGTTGGCTTGACAGGTTGGTGCCTTCATGAACGAGGCATTCCAGGCGAAGCACGGCATTGATCCAGGTCTGTTCCCTCGGAACATTCCAGTTTACACTGGGCATTACCACAAACCTCATGTTGTGAAGGACACATCAATCGAGTATGTGGGTTCTCCGTACCAGGTGTCTATGGGAGAAAGGGGACAGACGAAAAGACTCTTGATTCTAAGCAAAGACTGGAAGGTATGTCATTGGAAGAGGGGAGAAAACTGCAAGGGAATGAGGGCATGACTCATTGTCACTCACGTCTCTTTCATGCTGTACAATTACTGAGGCAAATGGCACATCATTACGTGTGATTGCTGGTTTCTCTGGGCTTTTCTTTTTCCATCATCAATGCATATGGCCGTTACTTGCATTTGAAAATCGCGTTGGATTTTGTGATTTGCAAGGGTCTATGATGTTGCACTCGTACTTCTATCAGACTTCCACGTTTACTTGGTCACATTGGATGTATGCTTTGGGCTTATGCTCACGGTTGATGCTACTTTGTTGTTGCAAATGGGTTGTGTTTTCGTTATGTTGGATGTATGCATGGTTCAAGGCTTCAAGCTTGCGCTCACAGCTGTGGGCTTCCTACAGTTCATCCAATTGAGGAAGAATGGGAAGGAAAGGAGGGAGGAATTGAACAAACCAGGGAGGGAGAAAGGTGCACGAAAGGAAGGAACAGAGGAGGAAAAGGAAAAAGGAAGGAAAGGAGGAGGGTGGGAGTGGAGGATGGAACAAAGGAAGGGAAGGCCAAAGGGGACCGAGAGGGTGACATTAGACTGCTGAGCGAGGGAGCACGCGAGAAAGGGAGGCAGGCAGGCAAGCAGGAAGAAAAAGAGACAAACTGCCCGGCTGCCTAACTTACTGAATGTCTGAATGTCAGCGACTGACGGACTGAATGAGTCAAGGAGGGAGGCAATTGGGCAGGAAAGCTGGCAGGCAGCAAGGAAGAAAGAGAAAACAAACATTCATATAAACAGACGACCAAGGGTCTGCACAAACAGAAAGGTGGACAACTGAGTGGATGGATGGACGAACGGACTGGTGTCGTGACACACCAACAGGCAGCCAGAACAGAGGACAGACAAAAGAAGCAAACTGCGGAGAGAAAAGAGAAACAAACAAATAAAAAATTTACAAATAGCTCTGCCCGCCACTCGCCATCCTCTGCCTCATCCTCCTCCTCTCCGTCGCCCCTCTCCCTCTCCAACCCTCCCCCTCATCCTTCAGGTGATGACCTTCAAGATACTGATCGAGGTGTTACCTGAACTTGTCAGGGATGGTACCTGCCTTGTCCTTCTCATATTCTTGCAGAGTGTGGCGCTGGATGAGGTGGTGAATGCCTCTGATGTCATCATGCTAACTCCTTGCCAACCTCCCTTATCCCCCCCTGTTGCCACAATCCCCAAACTGGTGGGTGCCAATGGGTCCACATGTCAGCATGTTGAGCGCAAACCAGTTGTATTGTATGGGTGCCAACCAGTGGCGGTGCAATTCTGTTTGTTGTGAATGGTATAGTGAAAATCAGGTCATGATCGAAGTTTCCATACTGCAAAGGCAAGTGTCACAGTTCCAGGAGAAAGGCTTAACCGATTAATATGCGGCAGAACAACTTTTGACATCGAGGCTCTACCTAAACTTGCTGATACACAACTGAATGCAACACAAATGGTTGACTGCAGAAGAAACTTGTTTGGTTGGTTGATGCAGAAAGTGGACGAGATCCCTCTGGACATAGGCTCTCGTCATTTTGTCATCTCACCAGATGACTTTGCAAACCCATCAGCGGTGCTTCCAGACCTCCGTAGTGGTGATATGGTCCGTTGGATGTTACCTGTGGATGTTGAGCCAGGAGCTGTCAAGGAAGAAATGGTGGGTTTCTCTCTCTCTCTCTCTCTCTCTCTCTCTCTCTCTCTCTCTCTCTCTCTCTCTCTCTCTCTCTCTCTCTCTCTCTCTCTCTCTCTCTCTNTCTCTCTCTCTCTCTCTCTCTCTCTCTCTCTCTCTCTCTCTCTCTCTCTCTCTCTCTCTCTCTCTCTCTCTCTCTCTCTCTCTCTCGTTCTCTGTGTGTGTGTGTGTGTGTGTGTGTGTGTGTGAAGCATTGCCTCTCACCTTAACCTTTTTGTGTGTGAATTGGGCGTGCATGTTGGCAACTCTCTCTCTGTGTCTCACACTCTACCCCCTGCTCCCCATCAACGTTTCTCTTTCTCCCTTCTCCTAATTGTTCTGCGAGTGCTTGGTGCATTCAGGCACAGTTTTAGATACCAAGCATTCCCTATTCCTGATGCTATAGATAAGTATGGATTCTATGGCACCATCTTTTTCAGCTAGCTGCCGTGATACCGATCATATATAAGAAACACTCCCTTGACCACCTTGTGTGCTATGATTACTGCTATCCATGTTGTGGGATGTCCATGCCTGTTTCTGGTCCACCTCTTGAGGGCTTTACCTGGTGTAAGAACTTTCACGGGTTTTGCAGGTCATCACTGAACAACAGAGCTGGGGCCTGTGTTCACCACGGACTTAAGCTTATGCAGGCCTGGCCAGGTTGCTGGACTACTGGTAGCATGAACCTAATTTATCTCAATTAGAGCCTAGTTCTGACTGATCCTTAGTGCCCTTCCGAATCAATTAGCGAGGGTTCTCTTAGTGCCCTTCCGAATCAATTGGGGTGACCACAATGAACTTGTCTTCTTTCAACCCTTCCCCCCCCACTGCATTTTGCAGTTTGCTTGGACATGGTCTCTTGTAAGCTGCTCGGCAACTTGTTTATTTGTGGCTATTATAGGCAATTGACTTGTCAGATATTGCTGTGCTGCCCCTGACTCAGGAAAACTCATGGTGGTGTGTGTCTGCTCAGTATGACCTACTGAATGGGAATGTCTAACACTTGGCTTTGCAGGAGAAACTTCGAAGTGAAGGAATCAATGTTGAGCTGGTGTATTCACCGGTCATGACAAAGCCTCGGATTGAAGCTGTGGAAGATCTTGTAAGTGGCAAAGTGTCTTGCTATTCTCACTACCTGAAGAGATTCAGGTTGCCGTGCTTCTTCAATCTCGGTAGCTACTTGAACAGCTTGGTTTCTCTCTCGGGTGCTTCACTTCTGGTGTACGTGTTAGTTCGAACGATCACAGATGTTGCTTGTTCGTGAAAACTAGGTGCCTTTTTGCTTTGCATGTTCACGGGACTACTATTGTTGGTACAAACTTCTCATCACCTATCCCCTCTCTCTCACCCCCTTTCGCACTTGTAAAACTGGCGTCAGGCATATCTCTTGTGTCATCTTGTTTCCCCTCTCTCATACTCTGTCCTAGGATTTCTCCTCCTCCTCCTCCTCCTCCTCCTCCAGAGGTGGTCATTTTTTCCCCTGTCCAACCGTATCCGACCGGGCCGGACTTTGTTCACCCATACCCGCCCATACAGAGCAGGAGTTGTTTTTTTTTGTGTGTTTCCTCACCCTTCGTGAGCTTGTTCCAAATTTCCGAATCCGTACCCGGCCAGCCGTTCAGCCCGAAAAGCCACTCACATATACCCACCTGTACCCACGACCAATTTTACCAACTCGCACCTACCCATACCCACGACCTCCCTCCTGCTCTGCTCATGCTGCCAATGGCCACTTCCCCTCCATCTACTTGAGGAAGAGACACCATTTTACACAATCTAGTTGCACCAGAGCAAGGCCTGGGCTAACTAACTTCTGACCTGTGGAAGTATCTGACTGCAGGTGTCTGGGAGGGGGTAAACAAAGGCATGTTTCTGCCGCTTCATCAAGTAGTCAACGACTGATAGAGATATAGCAAACTTCGAGGTACATGAGCTAGAAGTCACGGGTAAGGCAATCGCGGAAGTGTGAAGAAACGTTTCCTGGAAACTACACCTGCCATACCTGCCTTTTTTTTGTTGGGGATAGAGAGTGAACGGGAGAAAAGAAAAAAATTACTGCTACCTGAGCCTACCTCTGCCCGCCTTACTGTTTTATCAATACCTCCCAGTCCACGACTTCCTGATTTTGATTCAAGTTAACAGGAGTTGAACCTATGACCCTCTCTGTACCCAAAACAGATACCCTCAGTGGCAAAAATAGGATGTAACCCACGAGTTCTCACACTGAGCGGGGGGGAAGAGGGGGGGTGGCCGGCCAGGGGGCTTTGGTGACCCAGGCCAAAACCTCACCTGGTCGTAACCCGGCCGTAACCTGGCTGTAACCCGACCAGGCTGGATTTTTTGACCTGGTCGTACCCGCCCTTTCACACCAGGTCACACCAGGTCACACCCGAGCCCACCCGTCACGCAGTGGATTGGCTGGGTGTGTGTTGCATACTCCAATGAGTATGGGCAGAAGCAAGAATCAACCAATGTAGGATGAGTATAGGTGCAACGGAAGTCTGATAAACGGACTGACTCACATAGACTGACTCGCATAGACTCACTCACATAGCATCACTCCACACACATACAATCGTGAGATGGTGGGGTCTGAGCCATACAGAGAGGATGCTCAGCCCCGTACACAACATACACAGATGAATGGGGGAGGAGAGACGAAGGAGGTGGGGCAGGTGGACAGCACTGAAAGTCACCGGGATAGAAATCTGATAGGTCACCGATATGGTAGTCCAAAATGTCATCCCACAGGATCAAAATGTCGAGGACCATAGGTCACCAATGCCGGAGATACAGAGTCCAAATGTAACAGGTGTCCGAACTGTGATGTCGCCAAGTATCAACCCCAACGATCTCCAAGTCTCCAATCCGGTAAGTACCACAGTCTCATATCACCGAAGTCCAACTTTGATCTCTGCCCAACTAGTACAAGTCTCCAATCTGAAGAAGAAGAAGAAGAAGAAGAAGAAGAAGAAGATGGAGTCTGAAGAGGGAGAGAGAGAGAGAGAGAGGACGGAGGTGAGGAGGAGGGAAACGGGACCGTGGAGGGAGGAAGAGATCCTCGCCTCCTGGTACCTGCCCTGCTGCTGCTGAGGCGGCGATGGCCGCCGGGCTGCTGCTGCTGTCCTCGCTGCTGCCGCTGCGCTAGCTCGCGCTGCTGCTGTGCTTCCTCCTGCGCCAAGAATAGCGCTCAAACGGCGCTCTGGCGCCGACCTTACCGCACCGCRTAGAGTGCCGGTGGGTCGATCCTCGAAATGAGGCCGGACCGGTTCTTTATACCGGTGGGCAGAGGCCGRCCTCACTGCTGYGAGGCCTGGCCGTGCCCTGAACCGTCCAGATGGACGGTTCAGCCCCAACCGGCGGGCGGCAGCCTCAAGAGCGCCGCCAGGCCCAAACGGTAATGTCGTTTGGGCCTGCCCGTCGGGTCTGGTCCAAGGTGAGGCCTTTATGGCCTGTAGTACCCCAAGGTCGGGCCTTTTGGCCCTGATGTGTCCCTCTAGCCCTAAGTCGGGTCCGGTAGGACCCGTGTGCGTCGAAGATGTAACAGTGTGGCCGTGTATGGCCACGGCCATCTCTTACCTGCCTTCGCCCTCCTCCTCCTCCAAGTTGACAAGTCCAACCACTTTGCTGCTGCCTTTTGTCTGTAGTAGTTTCTCTTCCGGGACCTGTGTTCATGCCCTTAAGATGATGGAATGGGGAGGTTTGGAGTGCAGTTTGTAACGCTGGAGGATGGCTAATGTACCTCACTCAATGATGCGATGCCTCAATTAGTTGGTCAAGGAAACGTTTTTCCTCAAGTCAAACTTGGAGACTCGTTGGAAGTTCGTGTTTCATTGGAGCTTTTTCAAACTCGATTGAGTCCTTGATTGCATTTGAATGACTTGATGCATAAAAGCGTAGGCCGTTGGTGAAGTTTCCTCATCAACTTTCCTGGTAAACTTCTTTGCCAACTTCCTTGTCAACTTTCCTGGTCAACTTTCCTGGTCAACTTTCCTGGTCAACTTTCCTGGTCAACTTTCCTGGTCAACTCCTTGTAACTTGTCCAAAAATGTGGGCTATTTCTTTATGATGGCATTTTATGCATGTCATCCTTGCGTAGGGGCCATGCAGATCTTCTGTGTATCGTTCCAGTTTCTTCCTTGTCAATTTTCCTGTTGCCTCATTCTTTCATTCCTCCCTCTCTAACTGTGTGTAGGGCTAATGGTTGTGAATAATGATGCAGGACTCCTTTGGTTTGTTTGAGACGTATGCAAATACAGTTGGCATGTCCGATGGCGCAGTAAAGATGGGTCTGTCCCTCCTGCGCAATCTCAGTATCCCAGGCAGACTTCTACAGCGGCCCAACGGTGCGTTTATCATGAAAGCCCAATGCTTGGGAGGTCAAATGTCAAGTTCATGCCCTAAGCTTGGTTAGTGAAATGTAGTCGAAAAAGGGGGCAGAAAAGGAACAGGTACGACCCAGTAGAAATGAAGGACACAAGTGGGTTGGATTGCATTTGGTTTCGATAGAATGAGTTCGGCGTTTGAGCCTATAGTATGTCTGCGTAACCCAACATGGATGTGCTCATCAGATGTCTTTTCCAATGCAGTCAGGAGGGCACAGTCTATGTCTATGGGATTTTGCCTTTTCGACATGGTCTGTGGGGATTCTTTCTCTTATTGCGGCCGCTTCTCTTTGACATCTCTCCCTGTTATGCTTGTTGAGTCCAGAGCTGCAGTTGTGTCTTCCTTGGTTGCCTGTGGTGTCGGTGAATTGTGCCATTTTGAGGTGGTCACATCTCCCACTCTGCTGGTAGACACCTAAAAGTCTGCACCTATCTTATTGTTGCCCAGAAAGCCGCTTTGAACTGTAAAGTATGCACCTGTCTTGTTGTTGCCCAGACAGTTGCTTTGAAGTTTCCTTGAGAGGGGTATCCTCCACCTGTGGATACTGTGCAGTTTTCTGCTTGGCTCACTTCCCCAGCTGCTCAGGTCTGGTCTATGAGCTCGCCTTCTGCAAACCTGGTCCCTTCATTATTGATGCTATATCTGTGAAAGGATTTCACCGCTGCAGCCTTGTTGCTAGTCCCAGTTCCCAGTCCCAGTCCCAGTCCCAGTCCCAGTCCCAGTCCCAGTCCCAGTCCCAGTCCCAGTCCCAGTCCCAGTCGCAGTCCCAGTCCCAGTCCCAAGTCCCAGTCTTGAGTCCCAGTCCTGAGTCCCAGTCCCAAGTCCGGTCTCGAGTCCCATTTCTGAGTCTCAGTCCTTGTTCCATTGACGGCCGTAGCCGCATGTACAGCATTCACAACTCTCTGGGTAGGATAGCCCAGTCGTGTGTACAATAGTTACGAATGCCTAGAAAGAGAAGCTCTCGTTTGTACAATGATTGCAGATAACTAGGTGGGCTAGGGCTAAGGAAGTTGTGGTAGTAAGTCCCTGGTTGATAAAAAGTATGGGTCGGAGCACCAGTAGGCTTAAGCAGAGACAGCAGGAACCGTTCGGCCAAGTGTTCGCCGGTCCAGTCAAGCAGCCAGACTCCAGGGGAATTCTGCACCTTCCGGAAGCAACAGATAAAAGCAAGGGGGCCAACCCATAACCGACAGAAGTAATGTGTAAGGTGGATCAGCAAGTATAAAAAACTCACCTGAGGAAGCTGTTGACACCTATTCACTGGGGAGTCCATGCACCGAGAGAGAGAGGGGGGTGGAGGAGGGGGGAGCGCAAAGCTGAGGGAGAATGACAATACTTGAGACAGCTGTTTGGCGGCCATAGCCGCACTTTCTGGTACCTGGTCAAGCTTGTGTACTTGAGTTGATGGCCAAGACTATTCCGAGTTTCCATCTCACTTGTGTATTGTCTATGTGAGTGTGATGGTGCAAGCTTGGTGAGGACTGCTGTGAATGGATCGTTGGTCTCAATCTGTTAATTCCATGTGCCCATGTGTTTATTCAACTTGATTGAACTTCATTCAACGTTATTGTCTTTTTTGGAGCGGCCTGTGGCATTCTGAGTTCCACACGGGCCCTACCGGGCCCGACCAGGTAGGACTAGGGGTAGTTAGGGGTATTTGGGACCAGTCAGGCCCTGTGTCGGTTCAACCCAGTTTAGGGCTCGTAGGTCTGTAGGCCCAGGTTAGGCGACAGGCCCTGGTGCAGGTTTTGACACCAGACCCTGTAGGCAGCGGCGTTTCGTTAGGTGCTGGCCGTTGAGGCCCAGCCTCCGTTTGGGTGCCAGTTTTAGGTGCCAGATTTCGATTTGAGGCACATCGGAGGCCGGACCAGCACTACTTATAGCTGGTCCACCTCAGCCTCAGTAGGCATTCTTCAGGCATTTGGTAGCGGTACTCTTCGGGTAGTTTGGTAGTCGACGGTAGGCCAGTGCTGGTCGCTGCGTTAGGTTCTCGGCCATGGGCTAGAGCTGCAGTCCACTGCAGCGGAGGTTGGAGAGAGGTCGGCTATGGCGGAGGCCAGGAGACTTACCTGTTATGCCTTTGCTCCAGCTTTGTCTTCATCGTGTCCGTACCTGCATCAAGGCAACACCTTTCGCAGGTCAGTATCTGGCAGACACACACACACACACACACACACACACACACACACACACACACACACACACACACACACACATCTCCTTTTTTGGAGAAGAAATAATAATTAATAAACTATGATATAATAAATAAGATAGTAAAATAGTATAAAAATAAATAAATAAATAAATAAATAATAAAATAATAAATAATAAGTAGAAATAATTAAAAATTAATAAATTGAAAAAAACATAAATTAATAAAACAAGTTTAAAAATTTATTAAATTTTAATTTTTTAATATTAACAATTTTTTTAGAAAAAATAAATATTGATAGATATAAAAACACAGAGAGAGAGAGAGAGAGAGAGAGAGAGAGAGAGAGAGAGAGAGAGAACTTCAATTATTTATTGGTATAAAATCTATTTTTATAGGTTACTTGCAGCCTTCAAAGGATAAAGACTGCCCCCCCCCTCTATTAGCTAGTGGTGAATTATTTATTGAGTGGTAAAAGATAGATAAATAGATAGAGAGATAGATAGATAGATAGATAGATA